TAAATAGAGATACTGGGGTGCAAATGAGCAAAATAAATAACAATATGGGGATGAGGTAGTTGGGTGGGCTAATTTCAGATGGGCTGTGTACAGGTGCAGTGATCGGTAAGGTGCTCTGACAACTGATGCTTAAAGTTAGTGAGGGAGATATGAGTCTCCAGCTTCAGAGATCTTTGCAGTTTGTTCCAGTCATTGGCAGCAGAGAACTGGAAGGAATGGCGGCCAAAGGAGGTGTTGGCTTTGGGGATGACCAGTGAGATATACCTGATGGAGGGCATACTACGGGTGGGTGTTGCTATGGTGACCAATGAGCTAAGATAAGGCGGGGATTTGCCTAGCAGTGATTTATAAATGACCTGGAGCCAGTGGGTTTGGCGACGAATATGTAGTGAGGACCAGCCAACAAGAGCGTACAGGTCACAGTGGTGGGTAGTATATGGGGCTTTGGTGACAAAACGGATGGCACTGTGATAGACTACATCCAATTTGCTGAGTAGAGTGTTGGAGGCTATTTTGTAAATGACATCGCCGAAGTCAAGGATCGGTAGGATAGTCAGTTTTACGAGGGCATGTTTGCAGCATGAGTGAAGGAGGCTTTGTTGCAAAATAGGAAGCCGATTCTAGATTTAACTTTGGATTGGAGATGCTTAATGTGAGTCTGGAAGGATAGTTTACAGTCTAACCAGACACCTAGGTATTTGTAGTTGTCCACATACTCTAGGTAAGACCTGCCGAGAGTAGTGATTCTAGTCGGGTGGGCGGGTGCCAGCAGCGTTCGATTGAAGAGCATGCATTTAGTTTTACTAGTGTTTTAAGAGTAGTTGGAGGCTACGGAAGGAGTGTTGTATGGCATTGAAGCTCGTTTGGAGGTTTGTTAACACAGTGTCCAGTGAAGGGCCAGATGTATACAAAATGGTGTCGTCAACAGGCCCTCCGATTTGACACATTGAACTCTATCTGAGAAGTAGTTGGTGAACCAGGCGAGGCAGTCATTTGAGAAACCAAGGCTATTTAGTCTGCCAATAAGAATGCAGTGGTTGACAGAGTTGCGGAGGGTGCAGAGCTGGTGGCCGGGGTAGAGGTAGCCAGGTGGAAAGCATGGCCAGACGTAGCAAAATGCTTGTTGAAATTCTCGATTATTGTAGATTTATCGGTGGTGATAGTGTTTCCTAGCCTCAGTGCAGTGGGCAGCTGGGAGGAGGTGCTCTTATTCTTCATGGACTTTACAGTGTCCCAAAACTTTTTGGAGTTAGTGCTACAGGATGCAAATTTATGTTTGAAAAAGCTAGCCTTTGCTTTCCTAACTGCTTGTGTATATTGGTTCCTAACTTCCCTGAAAAGTTGCATATCGCGGGGGCTATTCGATGCTAATGCAGTACGCCACATGTTTTTGTGCTGGTCAAGGGCAGTCAAGTCTGAGGAGAACCAGGGGCTATATCTGTTCTTAGTTCTGAATTTTTTGAATGGGGCATGCTTATTTAAGATAGAGAGGAAAGCACTTTTAAAGAACAACCAGGCATCCTCTACTGACGGACTGGTGGACTGATTGGTCCACCTCAGCAATCTGCTGACGAACGGATGTCGGACACACCAACGACCACCAATCAGGAAAACAAAGGACACCTGTATCCGTAACAACTCAAAGAGGGCCTTACATATGGGGCAGGCATAGATGGTTTAATGTTCTGCACATTTCAACAGCCATACAAAATCCTTGTTTGTGACAAATTGAGCAAAGTGATATGAAAATTTGCCCAAAACTACATATTTGCCCAACAGACCAGTATTCAAAGCATATGTTCTATTGCTTAAAACAAATGTATTAAACGTGCTAATGTATTTGTAAAAGGTATATTTTATGTTTATTTGTCCGTTTAGAAGTGATATATGAATAAGAGTTCAATTAATGTGACATAAATGGTCATATTTATGGAAAGTACATTTTAATTGCATTAGCCTATCTTTATCGGCCATTTTCTCAATGTTCCCCGTGTGCAAATTCATTTTTCTCAGTCTTCAAAGGACATACATTCACATTATTCCACACACAGGTTCTTAGGTCTTATAGTCAGACTTTTACAGAGGCTTTTTTTTCTATCTTGTGTCGTTTTGACTTTACGTGTCATTTTATCTGTAAATATATGCAAAATATGCATCCGTCATACTTGTGAACAGTGTTTTTTTTTTAATAATTCCATGAAATGACAATATTTTGATAAACTGATATGTAAAAGTCTGACCATTGAGTGTCTTATCACAATAAAACAAAAAGATACATTCTGCCTTTGAAGCAATGTGTTGAAAAACTGATTATCGTAATATGCAAATTAGCACACATTTAGCCTCATTAGCATATTTTAAAAACTTGTAATACAATAATATCTTATATTTATGTATACTTTCAACTGGTAAAGCTTCAGTCTGATGAGAGTAAAGGAAAAAATATGATTTTAACAAGGCACACCTGTTAATTGAAATGCATTCCAGGTGACTACCTCATGAAGCTGGTTGAGAGAATGCCAAGAGTGTGCAAAGCTGTCATCAAGGCAAAGGGTGGCTACTTTGGAGAATCTCAAATATAAAACATATTTTGATTTGTTTAACACTTTTTTGGTTACTACATGATTCCATATGTGTTATTTTATCGTTTTTATGTCTTCACTATTATTCTACAATTTAGAAAATAGTAAAAATAAAGAAAACCCTTGAATGAGTAGGTGTGTCCAAACTTTTGACTGGTACTGTATATATTTTCTTGATATTTCATTACTTTACCAGACTAATTGCAGGGATAGAGAACAGAAAATCATAGGTTTGAATCTCTGATACCATGTCACAATACATTGAAAAAAAACTGTTCACATGATTAATGTCTAAACAAATTAATTTCCATGTGTCCTACAGTATCTTTTTTTGTTTTGTTCAAACCAGTTAACCCAAACTAACTAGCAGTGTTATTAATAGTCTTATTGAAACATGTTCTCAGAACATTATTGATTTACCTTCAAATAACCTGTAATTTCTTTTCTCAGAAAATTAATAAAACCTCCCAGGAAAACTTTCAGGGAACCATAGTAAAACGTTATCAGAACCTCCCTGCATCCTAAAAATGTACGTTCTCAGAACAGGCAGAATGTTCACCTCCGTTCTCAGAATGTTTAAAAAAGTTATATTTTACCGGTCAGGAAATGTATGGCATCATTCCCAGAACCAATAGGAAACGAAAAACATATGTTCCCACAACTTCCAAGGAACCAAATGTGCTAACTGGGTAGGGTATCATACTTACTTGCACACAAGATGGGGTCAAGAAGGAATAGTAGTGCGGATTTATATGATATTATCCAATTGAATGTACTATAATATGATATGGTAAAATCCAATTTAATATAGAACCAGAAAGGCAGTAGCTGGTTTGTATAATATTGATGCACTATAGGAGTTATAGCCTAACACATTGACTTCGTAGACAGATGTAGAATTGGTGAACCAGATCCAAGTATAGTACAGGGAAATGCAATTATCCCTTTCAACCTGAAATACTCACTTACCCAGAAGTATTGAAGAGCAGACACTAGAGCAGGTTTCAAACCTCTGTAGAGGATGCTAACCTTTAGGGGGCCCACTTTGTCCTTGGGGGGAGTTGGTTCATCGCTCACCGACCGACGGCTGGCTGCATTGTTGAATCCTGGTGTGGAATGTGAGCTGTGTGCTCGGCTGAGGCCCTACGCTCTGCATCTTGTTGTTTTTTCTGCCGTGGAAGGCCTTTATGAAGCTCATCTCTGTAAAGACATACCTGCGTATTTTAAGCAGGCATGATTTTCCTGTAATCCCACCTGGAATCATGTTGGATACTTATAGCCATGAAGCCATCCCAAAGTTTTTACTGAGCCTTCAGATGACTGGTTGTTGTTGAAGCTCCCCAATGACATAACATGTAGAATAACATTGATGATGAGTCAACTTCAGTGTCGACGATGTTCAATATGAATTGTACAATTTGACCTGATAATCCTCTTATAAATAGGCTAAATCTAGAAGATGACAGATTTAAAGGCAACATTAGCAATAAATAACTTTCCAGTAAGAAACCAGGGGCTTCTATTTAAATGTGTGAATCTTGTGACATGACACGGTGACTCACAGTTTTAAATAAGCTCCTAAAATATTGTAACATTTTCCTTTGAGACTCCCTCCTTGTCATGGATGTTCTCCCTATTAGAGCAGACTTGTTATAACTTTTCAGTGCGAAACCAGGGAGCTCTCCTTATGTTGTGGCATGCTAGTTGATTAATAGTTTTACAACAGTTTTCAGAGAACCGTGATACTTTATTTTTGTCAAGGAGATATTTCTTGTGTTTGGCCTGATTAGAACAGATGGTTGCTTTAGTCTGTCCGGTGTTTGTAACAAGCTGATTTGTGGGTATTATGACAGGAAGTGCAATGTTTGGGTCTGAGGGTGACTGTCAGCAGGCCAGTGGCAGGCTGGCTTGCAGGCTGGCTCTAGTTTGATGACTAACTTCGGAGGGGCTGATAGGAGGATGTACGATAGGCAGGCAGAGAAATGGGACTGGGAGTTGAGGTAATCCACAGCGTATTAGGGGTACTCCCCCCTCCCCCCTCTCCCCACACAGTGGAAATGGACACTGCCTGCCAGTGTATTTATAGACCCAGAGCTCTCTTTATTAAACACGTACAGGGAGCTGCTCATAGTCACTGGAACTGTCCAGATTGCAGTGGTACCTTCTAGAACGCAGGCAACCGTTATTTCAATGTGTTTTTTTCCTGTTTAATATGCCTAGTAGGGCTCATCATGGTTGTTATTTGTGTTGAAAATACCACCGGTTTCTGTAAGTAGCTTGCCTTGCTAATGCTAACTCTGAATTCATACACAGTGTAAGATATGTATTAAGAGTGTGGTACAGTGAGTGAGTCTGTGAATCTGAACCCATTTAGAAAGGATTGTAAAATAAATTATAATACTGTTTTTGTTTTTCAGATTAACCCAGTCTTCTCAGTACAACCCCTTTGAGATATCCAAACAGAGAGATGGAGGGAGGAGTGATGAACAGAGGTGGGATAGAGAAAGGAGTGATGTCTGAGAAGCCAGTGATCCAGACGCAGCTGTCCACGCTGCCCTTCTTCGATACGGCCCACGCCTTCAACCTTCTCCGGGGGATCCACGAGCTCCGTGCCGAGCGCAAGTTCTTCGACGTCACCCTATGCGCCGAGGGCCAGGAGTTCCACTGCCACCGCACCGTGTTGGCCGCAGCCAGCACCTACTTCAGGGCCATGTTCGCCGGGACACTAAGAGAGAGCGCCATGGACCGTGTGGTTCTTCACGAGGTGTCTGCTGAACTGCTGGGCCTGCTGGTGGACTTCTGTTATACAGGCCGAGTCACAGTCACCCAGGATAATGTAGATCTTCTGCTGAAGACTGCCGACCTGTTCCAGTTCCCTTCGGTCAAAGAGGCCTGCTGTGCCTTCCTTGAGCAGAGGTTAGATGTCTCCAACTGCCTGGAGATCCAGGACTTTGCCGAGGCCTACGCTTGCCGCAATCTAGCCGTCAGCGCACGCCGCTTCGTCCTCAAGAACATTGTGGATCTGGCCAAAGGCAAGGACTTTGAGCAGTTGCCCTGGAAACGTTTGCTGGAGTTTGTGTCGGACGACGCACTGTGTGTGGACAAGGAGGAGACGGCCTATCAGATTGCGGTGCGCTGGATCAAAGCGGACCTACAGAGGCGGCTCCACTACTGGCCCGAGCTGCTGCAGCAGGTCAGACTACCCTTCGTGCGCCGGTTCTATCTACTCGCCCACGTGGAGAGCGACCCCCTGGTCTACCTCTCCCCCTCCTGCCTGAGAATGGTGAGCGAGGCCCGGAGCTTCCAGTCGTGTGAGTACGACCGTCACGACAGACCCTGCCAACGCATGCGGCCACGGCCCTCAACCGGCCTGGCTGAGATCCTAGTTGTGGTGGGAGGCTGTGACCAGGACTGCGATGAGCTGGTCACTGTGGACTGTTACAACCCTCAGACTGGACAGTGGCGCTATCTGGCTGAGTTCCCTGATCACCTGGGAGGGGGCTACAGTATAGCTGCCCTGGGCAACGATATGTACGTCACAGGTAAGTTGACAATGCCCTGACATACTGTACACTCTTGCACACACTATTTATGTTTTTGTAACACTTACCATTAAGGTATACTTTATAATGGATTTATGAAGGGTAATAAGTAGTTTATTCATGTGAAAAAGTATAAAAGGTATTGGAGTTCGGTTTTACTGGATATAGCAGCATATCATCTTTCTTTTAAGATGTAACATAGGCTATATGTTTAAACACATTATTGTATCCAGCTATAATCTACATCTAGTGTTTAGGCTTAACTTGACAATGGACTGCAGTGTACATAAGTGGTTAAGTTGCTGTGTGGTGTCTTAGTCACTCTGTTACCAGAATGCTCCATTTTGCATCTTATGAAATAGCAGGCAGGCAGTGTGAGTATAAATAAACCACAGCAGCCAGCTACTCTTGCAATATGTGAGAGAGAGGAGTATTGAGGTGAGTTAGCTAGGCGGGAGGGACTGCAGCAGTGGTCCGTGGGCTCATCACTGAGAGACAGACCTGGGTTCACATCAAATATTTATATATACACTAGATGACTGATGCTGTTTAGAGCCACCGCGCCTCCATCTTGGCACTCCCCCACCATTATAAAAAATATTTTGGAAGCTATAGAAATGCATTTATTAATGTCTACATTTGTTTTCCCACGTTTATACTATTACAGAAACCTTAATTCATACTTTTAAATTATACTGAACAAAAATATTACAGTTCATGTAAGGAAATCATTCAATTGAAATAAATTCATTAGGATTCACATGGATTTCACATGACTGGGCAGGGGCGCAGCCATGGTTTATATACATCATTGGTTCAAATACAATTTGAAGTTTATATTATACTTTGAGAATGTATTTGAACCTGAGTGCAGTGCTAGATAGGCAGGGTTTGCCATTTTGGGAATATTCTATTGTTTTGTTAAGCCAGGCAAGCTCAATCAAGCACAGATAACACATTGGAAGTGATTTTAAATAGTAGGCTACTTGAACCCAGGTCTAAATGAGGGGCCATCATCATTACCGAGTGACCTTCAGGTTCAGGAAAATACAGTGTTTCCACGGAGAAAACATCCCAGGCCCTCGCACGCTGCCTGTAATTCTGGCCAGTGATAGGGGGTCATAAATCATTAGCAGTGCTCTCATACCGCACCATTGCTGGCAGCAGGATCAGAAGGAGCATATGGCTGCAGCACAGAGCACATGGTTGGGGAATGGGCTAGTTTTATGAAAGGTGTCTTCATGCTGACAGGTTGATTTAGTAGGGTACGTCTGATTCAACGTCCTTGTGGCAATATTGTCATTACACCTACAAGGTGAAGCTACATACTGACACAGAATATGAGTACAGCACATGGCCAGGAAACTGAAAGAAGATATTGCATTTGATTAAACTATTGAAATTGTATATGTTTTTGGTATTTTATTAGGATCCCCATTTTAGCTTTTGCTAAAGCAGCAGATACTCTTCCTGGGGTCCACACAAAACATGAAACATGACATAATACAGAACATTAATAAACAAGAACAGCTGATGGACAGAACTACATCAACATTTTTTAAAGGCTCACGTAGCCTACATATCAATACATACACACAAACAACCTACAGTGAGGGAAAAAAGTATTTGATCCCCTGCTGATTTTGTTTGTTTGCCCACTGACAAAGAAATGATCAGTCTATAATTTTAATGGTAGGTTTATTTGAACAGTGAGAGACAGAATAACAACACAAAAATCCAGAAAAACGTATGTAGAAAATGTTATAAATTGATTTGCATTTTAATGAGGGAAATAAGTATTTGACCCCTTCTCAATGAGAGAGATTTCTGTCTCCCAGGTGTCTTTTATACAGGTAACGAGCTGAGATTAGGAGCACACAGAAGCAATCAATCAATCAGATTCCAAACTCTCCACCATGGCCAAGACCAAAGAGCTCTCCAAGGATGTCAGGGACAAGATTGTAGACCTACACAAGGCTGGAATGGGCTACAAGACCATCGCCAAGCAGCTTGGTGAGAAGGTGACAACAGTTGGTGCAATTATTCGCAAATGGAAGATACACAAAATTACTGTCAATCTCCCTCGGCCTGGGGCTCCATGCAAGATCTCACCTCGTGGAGTTGCAATGATCATGAGAACGGTGAGGAATTGCAATGATCATGAGGAATCAGCCCAGAACTACACGGGAGGATCTTGTCAATGATCTCAAGGCAGCTGGGACCATAGTCACCAAGAAAACAATTGGTAACACACTACGCCGTGAAGGACTGAAATCCTGCAGCGCCCGCAAGGTCCTCCTGCTCAAGAAAGCACATATACATGCCCGTCTGAAGTTTGCCAATGAACATCTGAATGATTCAGAGGAGAACTGGGTGAAAGTGTTGTGGTCAGATGAGACCAAAATCGAGCTCTTTGGCATCAACTCAACTCGCCGTGTTTGAAGGAGGAGGAATGCTGCCTATGACCCCAAGAACACCATCCCCACCATCAAACATGGAGGTGGAAACATTATGCTTTGGGGGTGTTTTTCTGCTAAGGGGACAGGACAACTTCACCGCATCAAAGGGACGATGGACGGGGCCATGTACCGTCAAATCTTGGGTGAGAACCTCCTTCCCTCAGCCAGGGCATTGAAAATGGGTCGTGGATGGGTATTCCAGCATGACAATGACCCAAAACACACGGCCAAGGCAACAAAGGAGTGGCTCAAGAAGAAGCACATTAAGGTCCTGCAGTGGCCTAGCCAGTCTCCAGACCTTAATCCCATAGAAAATCTGTGGAGGGAGCTGAAGGTTCGAGTTGCCAAACGTCAGCCTCGAAACCTTAATGACTTGGAGAAGATCTGCAAAGAGGAGTGTGTGCAAACCTGGTGGCCAACTACAAGAAACGTCTGACCTCTGTGATTGCCAACAAGGGTTTTGCCACCAAGTACTAAGTCATGTTTTGCAGAGGGGTCAAATACTTATTTCCCTCATTAAAATGCAAATAAATTTATAACATTTTTGACATGCGTTTTTCTGGATTTTTTTGTTGTTATTCTGTCTGTCACTGTTCAAATAAACCTACCATTAAAATTATAGACTGATCATTTCTTTGTCAGTGGGCAAACGTACAAAATCAGCAGGGGATCAAATACTTTTTCCCTTGTAGGTCAAATAGGGGAGAGGCGTTGTGCCGTGAGGTTTTTGGTTTTTTGAAACCAAGTTTGCTGTTCATTTGAGCAATATGAGATGGAACAGAGTTCCATGCAATTATGGCTCTATATAATACTGTACGCTTTCTTGAATTTGTTCTGGATTTGGGGACTGTGGAAATATCCCTGGTGGCATGTCTGGTGGGGTCGTAGTGTTATTCCGTTGCCAAGTTATTCATCATAGAAATTGTGGCAAGTATTGTGGAGGTCCACTTCCACGTAAAGCTGATACCCAGATCTCATGTCTGCTTGACCTCTTGGTGACTTCCTCTCTGCTAGAACAGCAAAGGGTGATGCAGGGGTTTTCAATAAGCACCACTTAGCTACAGTTGATACATACACCTTAGCCAAATACATTTAAACTTGATTCCTGACATTTAATCCTAGTAAAAATTCCCTGTCTTAGGTCAGTTAGGATCACCACTTTTATTTTAATAATGTGAAATGTCAGAATAATAGTAGAGAGAATTATTTATTTCAGCTTTTATTTATTTCATCACATTCCTAGTGGGTCAGAAGTTTACATACACTCAATTAGAATTTGGTAGCGTTGCCTTTAAATTGTTTAACTTGGGGCAAACGTTTCGGGTAGCCTTCCACAAGCTTCCCACAATAAGTTGGGTGAATTTTGGCCCATTCCTCCTGACAGAGCTGGTGTAACTGAGTCAGGTTTGTAGGCCTCCTTGCTCGCACACGCTTTTTCAGTTCTGCCCACACACTTTCTATAGGATTGAGGTCAGGCCTTTGTGATGGCCACTCGAATACCTTGACTTTGTTGTCCTTAAGCCATTTTGCCACAACTTTGGAAGTATGCTTGGGGTCATTGTCCATTTGGAAGACCCATTTGCGACCAAGCTTTAACTTCCTGACTGATGTCTTGAGATGTTGCTTCAATATATCCTCATAATTTTCCTTCCTCACAATGACATCTATTTTGTGAAGTGCACCAGTCCCTCCTGCAGCAAAGCACCCCCACAGCATGATGCTGCCACCCCCGTGCTTCACGGTTGGGATGGTGTTCTTCGGCTTGCAAGGCCCCCCTTTTTCCTCCAAACATAACGATGGTCATTATGGCCAAACAGTTTAATTTTTGTTTCATCAGACCAGAGGACATTTCTCCAAAAAGTACGATCTTTGTCCCCATGTGCAGTTGCAAACCGTATGCTATTTTATGGCGGTTTTGGAGCAGTGGCTTCTTCCTTACTGAGCGGCCTTTCAGGTTATGTCGATATAGGACTCGTTTTACTGTGGATATAGATACTTTTGTACCTGTTTCTTCCAGCATTTTCACAAGGTCCTTTGCTGTTGTTCTGGGATTGATTTGCACTTTTCGCACAAAAGTACGTTCATCTCTAGGAGAAAGAACGCGTCTCCTTCCTGAGCTGTATGACGGCTGCGTGGTCCCATTTTGTTTATACTTGCGTACTATTGTTTGTACAGATGAACGTGGTACCTTCAGGCATTTGGAAATTGCTCCCAAGGATGAACCAGACTTGTGGAGGTCTACAATTTTTCTTCTGAGGTCTTGGCTGATTTCTTTTGATTTTCCCATGATGTCAAGCAAAGAGGCACTGAGTTTGAAGGTAGGCCTTGAAATACATCCACAGGTACACCTCCAATTGACTCAAATTATGTCAATTAGCCTATCAGAAGCTTCTAAAGCCATGACATAATTTTCTGGAATTTTCCAAGCTGTTTAAAGGCACAGTCAACTTAGTGTTTGTAAACTTCTGACCCACTGGAATTGTGATACAGTGAATTATAAGTGAAATAATCTGTCTGTAAACAATTGTTGGAAAAATTACTTGTGTCATGCACAAAGTAGATGTCCTAAACGACTTGCCAAAACTATAGTTTGTTAACAAGAATTATGTGGAGTGGTTGAAAAACAAGTTTTAATGACTCCAACCTATGTCTCCTGAGTGGCGCAGTGGTCCAAGGCACTGCACTGCATCGCAGTGCTTACTGTGCCACTAGAGATCCTGGTTCGAATCCAGGCTCTGTCGCAGCCGGCCGTGACCGGGAGACTCATGGGTGGCGCACAATTGGCCCAGCGTCGTCCAGGGTAGGGGAGGGAATGGCCGGCAGGGATGTAGCTCAGTTGATAGAGCATGGCATTTGCAATGCCAGGGTTGTGGGTTCGATTCCCACGGGGGGCCAGTATAAAAAAAAATGTATTCACTAACTGTAAGTCGCTCTGGATAAGAGCGTCTGCTAAATGACTAAAATGTAAAATGTAAATGTAAAGTGTATGTAAACTTCCGACTTCAACTGTACCTGACCACATGTGAGGAACAGAATGTATTTTTGTGGATCTCTTCCATCTCAGACACCCTTCTCTCCTGTCCTTAGGAGGGTCTGACGGCTCACGTCTCTACGACGGCGTGTGGCGCTACAACTCCAGCGTCAACGAGTGGACCGAGGTGTCACCCATGCTGAAAGCCAGGGAGTACCACAGTTCCTGTGTCCTCAAGGGCCAGTTGTACGTGGTGGCGCCAGACAGCACGGAGCGCTACGACCATGCACTGGACTGCTGGGAGGCCCTGCCCCCAATGCTGCACGCTATGGACAACTGCTCCACCACCACCTGCAAGGGGCGCCTCTACGCCATCGGCTCCATGACCACCACGGGGGAGGATAACATGGCCATCCAGTGCTATGATGTGGAAGCCAATCGCTGGACCCTGGTCAACTGTGGTGAGCTGCCGCCATGGTCCTTCGCTCCCAAAACTGTCACTCTCAATGGGCTCATATACTTTGTCAGGTGAGGAGAATATGGACAGGAATGTGGGACTGTATATAAAAAAAATTAAATCTCAATGGGATCAACTTAATGAAAGTTGGATGAGATAAAAAATAAACTATCTACATAATATGGAAGGACATAGAGGTCAATTATTCTATTATAATGTTTAAAAACTGCCTATCTATCAATAGCATCAGCTGTAGCTGTCAAACAGACAAAAGGAGGATGAATGGTAAATGGTTTTGGCTAGGCCTGACATTTCTCACTGTAGATTCTTGCGTTCTAGGGATGACTCGGCAGAGGTCGACGTCTATAACCCTCAGAAGAATGACTGGGACAAGATCAGTCCCATGACACAGGTATGTGACACACTCTAAGTGTTAGTCTTATGGCTTGCCACATTTTCCCTCAGCCTTTACAATAGTATTTATATCAAAATATGTAATGCATGTGTGTCTGTAATTGCAGACTACACAAGTTTTGTTTTAAGGTACAGTCCATTCGGAATGTATTCATTTACATTTACATTTACGTCATTTAGCAGACGCTCTTATCCAGAGCGACTTACAAATTGGTGCATTCACCTTATAGCCAGTGGGATAACCACTTTACAATTTTTTTTTTTTTTTTTTGGTGGGGTAAGGGGGGGGGGGGGGGGGTTAGAAGGATTACTTTATCCTATCCCAGGTGTTCCTTAAAGAGGTGGGGTTTCAAATGTCTCCGGAAGGTGGTGAGTGACTCCGCTGTCCTGGCGTCGTGAGGGAGCTTGTTCCACCATTGGGGTGCCAGAGCAGCGAACAGTTTTGACTGGGCTGAGCGGGAACTGTGCTTCAGCAGAGGTAGGGGAGCCAGCAGGCCAGAGGTGGATGAACGCAATGCCCTCGTTTGGGTGTAGGGACTGATCAGAGCCTGAAGGTACGGAGGTGCCGTTCCCCTCACAGCTCCGTAGGCAAGCACCATGGTCTTGTAGCAGATGCAAGCTTCAACTGGAAGCCAGTGTAGTGTGCGGAGGAGCGGGGTGACGTGAGAGAACTTGGGAAGGTTGAACACCAGACGGGCTGCGGCATTCTGGATGAGTTGTAGGGGTTTAATGGCACAGGCAGGGAGCCCAGCCAACAGCGAGTTGCAGTAATCCAGACAGGAGATGACAAGTGCCTGGATTAGGACCTGTGCCGCTTCCTATGTAAGGCAGGGTCATACTCTCCGAATGTTGTAGAGCATGAACCTACAGGATCGGGTCACCGCCTTGATGTTAGCAGAGAACGACAGGGTGTTGTCCAGGGTCACGCCAAGGCTCTTCGCACTCTGGGAGGAGGACACAACGGAGTTGTCAACCGTGATGGCGAGATCATGGAACGGGCAGTCCTTCCCCGGGAGGAAGAGCAGCTCCGCCTTGCCAAGGTTCAGCTTGAGGTGGTGATCCGTCATCCATACTGATATGTCTGCCAGACATGCAGAGATGTATTCAGACCCCTTCCCTTTTTCCACATTTTGTTACGTTACAGGCTTATTCTAAAATTGATTTTAAAAAATAATATAATCAATCTACACACAATACCCCATAATGACTAACCAAAACCAGTTTTTTTTAAGTTTTAGCAAATGTATTACAAATAAAAAACAGAAATACCTTATTTACCTAAGTATTCAGACCCTTTGCTATGAGACTTGTCATTGAGCTCAGGTGCATCCTGTTTCCATTGATCATCCTTGAGATGTTTCTACCACTTGATTGGAGTCCACCTGTGGTAAATTAAATTGATTGGACATCATTTGGAAAGGCACACACCTGTCCATATAAGGTCCCACAGTTGACAGTGCATGTCAGAGCAAAAACCAAGCCATGAGGTCGAAGAGATTGTACGTAGAGCTCCGAGACAAGATTGTGTCGAGGCACAGATCTGGGGAAGGGTACCAAAACATTTCTGCAGCATTGAAGGTCCCCAAGAACACAGTGGCCTCCATCCTTCTTAAATGGAAGAAGTTTGAAACCACCACGCCTGGCCAAACTGAGCAATCGGAGGAGAAGGACCTTGGTCAGGGAGGTGACCAAGAACCCGGTGGTCCCTCTGACAGAGCTCCAGAGTTCCTCTGTGGAGATGGGAGAACCTTCCAGAAGGACAACCATCTCTGCAGCACTCCTCCAATCAGGCCTTTTATGGTAGAGTGGCCAGACGGAAGCCACTCCTCAGTGAAAGGCACATGATAGCCCGTTTGGAGTTTGCCAAAAGGCACCTAAATGACTCTCAGACCATGAGAAACAAGATTCTCTGGTCTGATGAAACCAAGATTGAACTCTTTGGCCCTACGGTGAAGTATGGTGGTGGCAGCATCATGCTGTTGGAATGTTTTTCAGCGGCAGGGACTGGGAGACTAGTCACCAGCAAAGCACCCCCACACCATCACACCTCCTCCTCCATGCTTCACAGTGGAAACCACACATGCGGAGATCATCCGCTCACCTACTCTGCGTCTCAGGATCAAGGGAAAGATGAACGAAGCGAAGTACAGAGAGATCCTTGAAAACTTGCTCAGGACCTCAGACTGGGGCGACGGTTCACCTTCCAACAGGACAACGACCCTAAGCACACAGCCAAGACAATGCAGGGGTGGCTTCGGGACAAGTCTCTGAATGTCCTTGAGTGGCCCAGCCAGAGCCCGGATTTGAACCCGATCAAACATCTCTGGAGAGACCTGAAAATAGCTGTGCAGCGACGCTTCCCATCCAACCTGTCAGTGCTTGAGAGGATCTGCAGAGAACAATGGGAGAAACTCCCCAAATACAGGTGTGCCGAGCTTATAGCGTCATACCCAAGAAGACTTGAGGCCGTAATCGCTGCCAAAGGTGCTTCAACAAAGTACTGAGTAAAGGGTCTGAGTACTTATGCAAATGTGATATTTCAGTGTGTTATTTTTCAAAAAAATGGTTTTTTTGCTTTGTCATTATGGGGTATTGTGTGTAGATTGATGAGGGGGAAAAAATAATTCAATCAATTTTAGAATAAGGCTGTAATGTAACACTTGGAAAAAGTCAAGGAGTCTGAATACATTCCAAATGCACTGTAGGTGTTTCTCAACTGATATTATGATTTCTTTCCTTCTTCAGGTCCATGTAGGAGGCAGTGTGGCAGCCCTGGATGGTCGTCTCTTCGTGTCTGGTGGCTATGACAACACGTTTGAGCTGTCTGACGTGGTGGAAGCTTATGACCCCTCCACCCGTACATGGACCCCCGCGGGCCACCTGCCACAGCCCACCTTCTGGCATGGCAGTGTCAGCATCTTCCGCCAGTTCATGCCCGCCGTATCCAACACTTTCGAACCCATCGACCTGCCCGAGGCCAACTCCATCCACCTGCACCGACACCACCGCAACCAGGCCCTGAACAACCACAACCTCAATCTCAACCAGAACCATGACGTCAACCCAGTGTAACACACTACATGGACTAATAGTTCAGGGGATATCATCCTGATCACTGTTTCAGCCATTAGTGCCATTTTAGGTTTACTTTGAAAACAGACACCTCATTATGATACTACAGATAGGTAGAAATACGTTACAGTGCACTCTGCTTATAGTGGATGTGATTTTAGTGATTAACTGCTTATAAAGATCAAATTGTCCTGCATGGATGAGATCACTATAGGACTGTAATTACATTACATTGTGCCACTTCTGTGACAGAGCATGTGTGCAGTTGTGTGATCCCTATGTTATTTACTTGCCTGCCACTCAGTTTGCCTATTATTGACTGGACTAATAGACTGGCTGGGTATGAAGGTCTCATGTTGGGGAAAGCACAAGCTACCCATACATGGGAATCTACGGCAGGCAGTAGTAGTGTATCGTCCTGATTATGGTTATATAATTTTTTTACATGATCAACTAACTATGGAGCTGTTTTCCACTTTCCGGTTGTTTAGAGTGAGAGCCAACATCATCCTTCAGAATCAATAACATGAGCCCAGACATTCCAAAAGCCAACACAACCACCACAATGTTTTCTAGTGCTAAACCAGATTTGATAACCGTTGAGAGATGTATCTGGAGATTTGTTCAGAGCTATACTGCTAGGAACCTGCAATGGAACCTTAGGATGGAATCAGAGCATGGTTGCATATGATGCAACTGGGACTGGGCTGATAGAACCACATCAAAGTGATAGATTCCATAGATGAGTTCTCATTCTATTTCTATATCCCCGTTTATACCTGGTGCTAACATGGGTCTTTTGTCCTGATCTTGTCTACATTCTGATTGTGCCCACATTTCAAAAATGTGTCTACACGTGGTATTAAACTGTCTGTTATCCGTCCGGGGCGGCAGGTAGGCTAATGGTTAAGAGCGTTGGGCCAGTAACTGAAAGGTCACTTTTTCAAATCCCTGAGTTGGCAAGGTGGAAAATCTGCTGTTCTGCCCTTGAGCAAGGCACCAACAACAACAACTTCTCCCCAGGCGCCTTAAACGTTGATTAAGGCAGCCCCCCGCACCTCTCTGATTGAGGGGTTGGGTTAAATGCAGACGACACATTTCGGTTGAATGCATTCAGTTGTGCAACTGAATAGGTGTCCCCTTTCCCAATGTGTCGGCATTGTGACCATATTTCCTGGTCCCTTCCTTTATACAAATTCTTTCATAGCTATTCTTTCAAAATAATATTTATTTATTGTAAGACATATTGATGTAATCAGTTAATGGTCCCACCTGTCAATGATTTTAGAGGGCGAAATAATTCTTATTTAAATGGTTTCTCTGTCCAGATCTGTCAAGACTTGTAAGATATCTATACACAATGCGTGTCTGACTACCTCCGGAGGTAGGCAGGATGATCTGATCACAATCAGATCACAATGTGTCTTTTGATTGTGCCCACATTTTTAGACAGGTGTAGACAATCAGAATGTGGACAAGATCAGGACAAACAACACAGGTTAGAACCAGGTATAAATGGGGCTAATGATATTATTCTATCAGATGCTGATCACCATTTTCCTCTCCCTCATCCAGACTGACTGTTTCAGACCTTGTTGGCGTGACTACCAATATAGCCTGCATGAATTACTGGTCATATATTTTCTTTGAAGATTGTTTTTATTATAGATGCTGTATTTTTATTAGAATGGTTTCATTTTATTTATGAAAATGTACATGTTTTTGTAGTGTTATTTCTGATAATGTTAGTTTTTTCCATTGCAACAGGAGGCACAGGTACACATGAAGATAGATCATGGTAAAACAACCACTGTTAACTGGAAGTAGTAACACATTCTCAGCTTATTTCTGTAACATTGTGTTTGACTGTCATTTTTAGTATTGTTTACTTACTGTAATGCTATTCAGTTTGTGTTCTTATTTTTCATACAAGTTTGTTGTTTAAAAAAAAAAAAAAAGATCTGCGTTGTTTGGGTTGGTATACTGTAGTGATGTCCTTACAGTGAGTTATCACAATAAAACTGCAGGCAGGACTGTTAATTTACTCTGTTTACCGCTTGACTTGATGATGCAAGACAATCCCATTGATTTACATTCACCTCTCACAAACTGACGTGTACAGTGTAAAAACACAAACTTAATAACCTTAAAATACATAACCTTAAATTACTTAAGTATTAAATGTAACCTTTATCAAGGCGAGTCAATTAAGAACAAATTCTTATTTACAATGACGGCCTGGCCAGTGACGACTGGAAGTAGCCTAAGACAAGTTGTAGTTTTGTCAGACCCCATGCACAGGCAAAATGAATATGTCCACAGAGTAGGGGAATGTCTTGAGGGGTTTCATAGTCTACTGGGCTGAGTGGGGGCTTCCACTTGGTCAGGTTCTTCTGTACAGAGCAACTCCCCAAGTGTGCCTTTCATTTAGACAGAAAACATGGCTACTACAATACCCACTGGGCCAGGCACACCACGTCATTTCAACGCAGATAATTGCATAATATTTGGTTGTTGATCAATGACATTACAACCTATATTCACCCACTCAAAAAGACAGCCAAAAGTTAGTTGAATTTCCAATGTGTTATCACTATGCTTTCAACCATCTAACAGCAAAACCCAATTCCAATGGAAAAACAATGTCTGATTTTTGGTTGAGTCACCCAAATGTCTATCACTACGCTTTCAACCATTTAAAAGCACAGCAAAGTTCAAATGGGAATACAATGTCAGATATTTTGTTTATTTTTACAACAGATTGTGTTATCTAATAGCAGAACCAAATTACCTGGATTGCAGTTGAGATTACATTAAAAGTACATGTTGCAAGTGATCAACGCTGTTCAAGATTCTGGCAGATTATTACAGGAATTGTGAAGATCTCCACAGACCTGCAACTGCCTATGCATGCTACAGGTAACTGCCAAAATAAACTGCAACATAAAGTGTCTTAATAGGGTATTGGGCCACCACAAGCCAGAACAGCTTCAATGCACCTTGGAATAGATTCTACAAGTGTCTGGAACTCTATTGGAGGCATGTGACACCATTCTTCCATGAGAAATTCCATTATTTGGTGTTTTGTTCATGGTGGTGGAAAATGCTTCCTCAGGCGCCGCTCCAGAATCTCACATAAGTGTTCAATTGGGTTGAGATCTGGTGACAGACGGCCATGGCATATGGTTTTCATGCTCATTAAAACGTTCAGTGACCACTTGTGCCCTGTGGATGGGGGCATTGTCATCCTATGGGGGCATAGCCATGGGAGCCAAAATAATGGCCTGCCCAGCATTTTTATACATGACTCTAAGCATGATGGCATGTTAATTGCTAAATTAACTCAGGAACCACACCTGTGTGGAAGCACCTGCTTTCAATATACTTTGTATCCCCTCATTTACTGAAGTGTTTCCATTAGTTTGGCAGTTATCTGTATCTTAAACATGCACCCTTTATATGATTACATAAGAACAAATGTATAGTTACAGTAACCTCAAAATGTGGCCATGGACGTGTTACTAATTTGAATGTTACATTAGTTTGTAAAATAGCCTTAACTTTAGGCTATCTACTGTATTACAAAAGTAATATTGAATTGTGTTTGGTTGACAACACAACAAAATGTCAACATTAGAAGGAGATGTATCTTCTGCTTGGATAGTTCCATATGTGCTGACTTAGTCTGGCTTTAATTCCAGTTTGTCTACAAATTAATAATTGATATGTTGGATTCACGTCTCCATCTCAACCAAAAATGCACTTTAAATCAAGTTTGATTTGATGTAGTCCTATTTTTTGACTTCGATTTTTGGTTGAGATGGAGATGTGAATCCAACATATCAGTTATTAATTTGTAGAAAAACTGGAATTAAAGACAGTGGCACATATGGAACCATAGAAATATAATGTTTTCTATTTCTATGAATGGAACTATAATCTGGGCAGTGAGCTGAACAAATAGACATAATTTATTTAGAAATATAACAAGTTTTAAAAAATCGCTTTTTAGTGTCTTAAAACAATAGCTTTTTTTGTAATCATAAAAATACACTTCAATCACATCGTAGCCATATAACTTGACACCTAACAAAACATTCTGATTGCCAGCATTAAATATGTATTTGTTTCTATGTTCATAAAGCTAATAACTTGAAAATGTGCAGGGTCCTAGCATTTTGGGGGCCCCAAGTAAGATTTTTACCCACCTCGCAGGAAAAACATTTTAGTGGCCCCCCACTTGGCTGGCGGAGAGAAAAATGTGCTACTTTGAAGTTAATGTCCTGCAATTCGACACATTTTCCATGGGGCATGGAGAAAATGTTGCAGTTTTAAAGCAGATTTTCTGGAGGTCAAGGCCTCTGGGCACGTGCCTTGGGTGCCCGGTCAGTAACTCGGCCATGATTACAACAAGATTTAGATAGCTGGCTAGACTAACTTACCTAGCAATCTATAAAATATTAGCTGACATGGGCTAATTGATTGACTGTCAATGACTGACATAACAAGAGGAAAACTATTGATGCACCACCAAATTTCGAAATTGCACATTGTGTATTCTACTATGCTATCTCTAAACAGTAAGTTGAGACCCCGACTGACTTGATAAAAAAATTAAAAATAAATAAAAACACAAGCCACAGTTTGGTCAGCCCTGCTGTAGATAGATCAATTATCCAGTAGGTGCTGCCCAGCCTGTAGTTTCTTTTTCCTGATAGTGGACATAACGTTGAAGATCTGACGTTGTTTTAAAGGTACAAATTCAACATATTTTATACAAGGTTTGTCTATGTTGAAATTTGGCTACTATGATGACATAATCCTGTGGTTGACATTTCACACTCAAAACAACAGTGGATTACTTTCTTCAAATCCAATGTATTTTCCACGTAGATTCCACATCACAATACGTTGTCTGTCCTGTCCTCAGGCTTTGCTCTTAGCAGGAGGATCCTCCCGTATGTCCTCCAGCTCCACCGTGGTCTCAGGGATGTGGTAGTCTCCTGCCACCAGGAGAGTCTGGTCCATCACATCTGTCACAATGAAACCATGCCCCACCACACCCAAACCCTGGGTGGAGAGCACCTCCACCTGGCCATGTCCCTGTCCCACCCCAACCTGGGGAAAGCCCACCTGGCCCTGGGTAAGGCCCACCTCTACCCGGCCTTGGCCTACCACACCTTGGCTCTGAGTTAAGCCTACCTCCAACTGGCCAGGCCCATGCCCCGCCACAGCCTGGTTAAAGCCCACCACCATCTGCCCTTGGCTGGACACCACCTCCTCCACCAGGGGCTGGATAACCACCCTGAGGATGTCACTGGCTCCTGGTACAGTTCCAGGTCCAGACACACTGAGTCCAGGTATAGGTCCAAAGACAGGAACAGGGACACTGGGTCCAGAGACAGGTGCCGACCCCTCAGGTGTCCCCTTCTCAGTGGGTTGTGTTGGTGAGGGGCTAGTCTCATCCTCCTCCTGCAACCCCTCATCCTTTACTATCAGGTTCCGTAGCTTCCTCTCCCGCGGGTTGTAGTTCTCTGTACGATTGTGGACCTGAATATGACGTCGTAAGTGGGCCTGGAGGAAAAGAGAAGAGACTTCAGTATTCAATTGACATTTTATACAGCTTAATTTATCCCCTCAGTGGCTGGGTGAGCATTAAACATGCATGGAAATTTGAGGAACCAAGCTAGCATACTGGAAATACATGGCCTACCTGTCTGGTGAACTTGTAGCCACACTTTTCGCACTCAAATTTCCTCATGCCCTGATGGCGACGCACATGGACGCGGAGCTGCTCGATGGCTGGAGGATTTAACAAACAAGACAATAAGAAAACAGACAGTAAACTTGTTTTGTTGCATTTTGTTCAACTAAAGTCAGGATGGAATCTTTTCAGGAAGCAAACTACTGATTAGATTAAAACATGACAGAAAATATTATTTCAACTGAAAAGGTAGTATGAATCATATCATCAGTGATGCCACAATCTCTTGTCAACCATGACAGTTCCTCTCTCACCCTTGAAGGTCTTGCCACATATCTTACAGCAGTGGGGGCGGTCGTCCTGGTGCTTGCTGGCGACATGGCGGAGCATTGGGCCCTTCTCTGTGAAGCGCTGGTTACAGAACTCACAGCTATAAGGCCGCTCTCCCGTGTGGGTGCGATGGTGCTTGTCAAGACTGGCTGGAATGACATACAAACACACACATAGGCATTGGCACAAGCACAATGTTGAGTGTTGGTATAGGCAGTGTGACAGCTCACTGGATGTTAACATGAGAGTTTATGTGTTAGTCTGTGAGACAGAGTGTGTCTACTCTATCTAAATGATATCTATGAGACTAAATCATACTATATGATCTGTGCAGCTATGTTTGTTGTTAGAAATTGGTGTGTCCTGCTATGGTATCTGCAGGGCCTAGTGAGAGGATGGCAGTTTTACCCTGTGTCCGGAAGGTCTTCCCACAGAGGTGGCACTGATAGGGCTTCTCTCCAGTGTGAACCCGCAGGTGCATGTTGAGGTTAGCCTTTTGGGTGAATGCATGGTTGCAGTACTCACACACAAATGGACGCTCGTTTCTGAGAAAGTAAGACAAACAAACAGGGACATCACATTATTTGATACATTACGTCACATTATACGACAGTAGGCTATATCGGTTGCATCAAACAATCTAGAGCCCCCACGGTAACAAACCCCTCACCCACTACCATGCCCAGTCTCAGCCCCACCTGTGAATGGCTTTGATGTGCATCTGCAGGCCGTTTCGACTGGATGCTCGATGGCCACACTCTTCACACACAAAGAGCTTCTCGCCGCGATGCTTGGATGCCTCATGCAGACGCACCTCCGTTTTAGACAGGTAGGCTTTGCTGCACAGAGAGCACTGTGGGGAAAATTCATCACAGGTTAGAGGGTGATCAGCAAGCAAGCAGTCATACATCTTGACAATAATGCAGAAGCAATAAAGGTTTGAATACATGAAAAGGCAGACCAATTAACACAAAGGCGAGAGAGAAGACTTACTGCATGTGGTTTGGGTGCACCATGGATTTTGATTTCGTGATTTCTCAAATCTTTTTTACGCATAAACTGTTCCGAGCATGACATACACTGAAATAGATACAAGATCAAGTGATAATAAGTCAATATGAGTTTGATACAAAATAAACCAGAGAGAGAAGTCTTAAAATGTAAATTAATGACATGTTCAAAAGGGTTGGGGTCAATTCGGAATGTATTAATTTAATGAATTTTAATTGGCCACACCCCAAAGGAAGCAGATTTTAAATTGAATTTGAATTGGAGGAAGTATAATTGAAATCAAAGCAATTAAAACTAATTCAACTGAGACGTTCATTTGACAAATATTTTATCAAAAGGATATGCCACTTATTAATGCAAAGAATACACATACCATTTCAAATATTAGTTTGATTATTTTTATTTGACATTAAATGTTAGATTGTTCCCTTCCATATTGCAGTGTTTGAACTAATGCAATCTGGGAAATGTATTTTTTCTGATATTTCAAAACAAATTGATGAATTATTATAGACAACCCATCTTACAATATTTCCAGAACACTGTAATTAATTAAAATTGTTTTAGGAGTTTTACAAATGGAAATGTTTCAACCTTATGCTACAGTACATGGTATTGGTAACCATACACGATGTCAAAATAATCATTACTATGGTGATGTGTAGAATAAATAAACAATTAGAATTTGATTGAATTAAATTATACTTATTTTAACTCAAATTCAATTAAAAGTATGCTTATTGTGGTGTGTGGCCAATTCAAATTCAAGAATTGGATTGGAATTAAAGAGCAATTCGCAACTCAATTCAGACTTGACCACAACCCTGATGTTCACGGTACTGTGTGCTTGTTCAAGGATGTGAGGTGGTAGGTGCTGGACCTTATTAGGCATTTCCCCTGTATGGGAGACCGTGTGCAGACGTAGATCCACCACTCTGTCAAACGACATGGGGCATTGAAGGCAGTTGTGCACCTGTAGTAACAACAAGAATACACACATACAGTACATGAGGGAAACGTAAGGTATTGTATAATTTAGGGCACACAGTGTCAAAATGTTTTACAACCGAAAACGAAAATATGCATTTCTTATTGGACAAGTCATGGTAGTCCCTACCCTTTATACTCAGTTTTCTTCCTTTTGGTGCGGACATTACTTTAGTCTGATCACTCACCGCTTTTACTTTTTCACCACATTTGCAGTTCCGGGCCTGGTGGTCCAACAGATTCTCCTTCCTGTAGTACCTCTTCCCACACTTAGAGCATGCAAAGGGCTTCTCACCCGTATGACGCCTGGTGAACAGTGGAAGAACATAAATAACACACTAACACTAGTCACTCAATAATACCAGTCTTTTCATTACTCAGGTCTCTCTTGCAAGATATTTTTTTATCTCAATAGGACCAACCTTTAAAAACAAAGATTGTATAATAAAGACAGAATCAATGTAAAGTCAATGCAATGTGATAGCAGTGAGTTGCATACCTGTTGTGTACTTTGAGATAGTACTTGCTGAGGAAGGTCTTTCTGCAGGTGGGGCACTGAACAGAGCCCTTTTTGGAGCCCTTGGCCGCCCCTTCACTGTTCTCTTTATTGACAGCTTTACCTGGTCCTTTACGTCTGCCTTTGGGGCTGGAGGTGGTAGTCGGCTGAGCATGGGGCACATACTCTTCATCAGTGTCCTCATCCACCCCCTCCATCAAACCACCATCATCATCGTCGTCATCATTAGGCTGCAGATGAGAATTAGCTTTGTAGCTAAAATCTGGTACAATGCCGGTGACCATGTCTGTTACCTGTCAAATAAACAAATACAACAAATCATCATCTCTATTGTCATTCATCACATCTTCTGGCCCATCCACCTGTAACTGGGAGACACAATATTTCATGCATCATCCATCATATTGTAGCTATAGCCTAAGCACTTGCAGTAAGGTATAGGCCTACTGCAGGGGTCGACAACAGGCGGCCCACGGGCCAAAACTACTGTAAAATCACCAGGAATTCAGCAAGAAATATGTTTAATTTTGGAAAACTGTTCCCAAGTATTCCCACAAATAAAAAAAGAGACGTGATTGTGTCTTAATATAATCAAGGTATGAAATTATTGTATTTGAAAATACAATCTCTTTTTGGGCATAGTCAATTTGCAGTGTTTAATATTTTCCGGCCCCCCGACCATCTGCTCTGACAAAAATCGGCCCGCGGCTGAATCTAGTTGCCTACCCCTGACCTACTTTATAGTTCTAGTATAAAACCTACAAATCTGTAGGCCCATTCCCTCCTAACTTATTCTTACATTAACACTTTAGGATAAGGTTATGTATTCTAGCCTACCTCTGTTGTATCTGTAGGCTGAAGGAGGCTTTGTCCCTCGTCCTCAGCCCCATCACTTCTATCCATTAGGCTGATAACTAGTTGTGGTGCTCCCCTGATGGTGGTCCCCTGGGGCAGGAGCTGTGGCCTGGGACCCTCTCCAAGCAGTCTTCTGGAGACCTTCACCTTACGCCCAGAGCGAGTTGTGGTGGCGGTTGCTTCCGGAGGATCCTTCTTACTTGAGCCACTACTAGGGGTTTGGGATTTTTTGGGCCTCCCTCTTTTTTGGGGGGGCCTCCCCCTTTTTAGGGGGACCTTGGTTTCCGTAGAAGTTACAGGTGGGATTAGGCCATCATCTCCAGCCAGAAGATCTGCAGACTGAGGTTCTTCTGGAGAGACTGTCCCTTCTGTGGCAAACTGCTGACAGAGAGCGAGCGCATCTGGTACACATAGGCTGTCTGCAGCCTGTTGCACATTCTCCAGATTCAGAGAGTCAAGCTTCAACTCCCCTGTGTAGAAAAAGTCTAGAAGCAGTTCCAGGCCGTCAGTGGGGCACTCCTCTGGGAGGGAGACCTCCTTAACCATGGTAGTGGTTGGCTCAGATTCCTGGAAAAGCTTACTAAAACAGGCCAGGATGTTGCGATGGGCATTGTACGCCCTCCCATCTCCTCCTACAGTCAGCTTGGCATCACAGAACCAGCCGAGACCCCTCTGCTCATTCAGAAATGACAACACCCGTTGGGCATGGGAGCAGCTCACCTGTGTAAGCATCTCTCACCCTTGACAGTAGATTGCTGCTTCTCAAGGGACACTGGATTCAGTGTCAGAGTTGCTTGAAAGAGTCAGAAAACAGATGACAATTGACAAGAAAATAATAGAAAATAGGCTACTGTCTGTAACTTCTATTAATATCACTAGGCTATTAGTATTCTTGCAATTGTATTGCACTCTTAAGTCTTAACTACAGCATCATCAGTCATTTATAATGCATAGTCCAGACTTCAGATACATTATTAGCTAGATATTCACTTAAACCTGGTATGGGACATTTGCACAAGGGGTTGAGTAGTACTAAATATACCAACACATATGGCTATATGAGATAATAATACTGAAATAAATAGAATTTGTTTAAGATTAGACAAATGCATTACTCAGAAATTAGTAGGTAGGCCCCTAACTAGCTACGCACCTCGACGTTTCCGACATTATACAGACGCTCCCTAAGCTCTCATCTGTCCAGTAGAAACAACAGAGACGCGACTTACCTTTTCAGGATGCTGGCAATCGTGTCACTGCTATCAGTTTTCGTAATGGTGCATTGAATTTAATATCATTTTTTAACAGTTATTTTGACTAACGTATCAGGAACATGTATTGCGTTATGTCTCGTCCAGGCCAGGCGGTAGGGACCGGATGTGACGGTTAAGCTAGCATCATGCAAGCGCGCTAGCTAACTAAACAAACGCTGTGAAATTGAATGGTGGGTAGCATGTAAGCATCACGCTCAAATTACACGATTGTGTAGTTATATCATTGCATTATTTTGGGTTTGACTAACTAATTATATTTCGAGCTAATGTTCCCTTTGAAGGATGCATGCTAAGCTGTCTACGCGAACAGCTGAGCATGCGTGAACTCCGTGAAGGTATTCACTGTCCATCCTGTTTTATCGATATCCCCCCCAAAAAAATAAAATAAAATTGGGCGGTCTAGCTTAGCTACAGTTCATATTTTGTATCCAGGTCGCGTTAATGTAATAAATGCCTATTTTAGGTATCTGTAACTAAGGTAGGTAACTGCAAAACGAACTTACTAACTTGGAAGCAAACGCTGTAACCGCCGCTGTGGGATACCGGTTGGCCAAATAATTTACTCAGATGGCGTCTGGCTGGCTCACATGGTGAAACCACTAAGCTAGCTAGCTAACAGTATACTGTAGCAAGACGATTTGTATTTGTTCGCAATAGAGGGCCTCCAAGCATATTTTTGAGAAGCTACGGAGAGGTACTGCTTGGGATGCAACCTTCGTCTTGCTGATCGTGGGATATACTCTCCAATACAACAGTAACGTTTGTTGGCTAGCTAACTAATGTAACAAAAGCTATCTTAGCTAGCTAACCAGAGGTTCATTGACATCACAGTAGTATTGGACAGTAGCTGTATTCATTCACCTTAGCGAAGAGAAGTTCAATTTGTTACTACTAGTAGTTAGTGTGAGCTAAGTTAGCTAGCTAGATAACTTACCTAGCTAACGTTTTATCTATTTACACTAACGTTAGCTAGCTAACAACAATCAATGTTAGCTTGCCTGCTAGTAGAGTATGTACAGCTAGCTATATCGATGCTTGCCCATTGCATTAGTTGTGTTCATTTTGTACTGTTCTCTCTCCAGGGTTCCCCCCCTTACATCTTAATTGCAGAGGGAAAGCCATAAGGAACCATGAAAGTGCACAAAGCTCCCCCCAAAACCAAACAGACGTCCAAGAGGCAACAGTGTAAGGACAAGTGGTTCAAGCCCAACAGAATTCCCCAAAACTCAAACTCTTCAAACCTCAGCCCAAGCACTGCCATGGCCAAGCTAGAGCACCACGTATCTAACCTTAGAAAGGACAAGCCTAACCTGAAGCGACTGAAGAAGAAGGCCAAGGCTGTGTCCTTCAGACAGGTCAAGACTCCGGCGGTCAGGGAGAGGACCCCCTCTCGTCCCCTGACTAACGGGGGAGCAGGTGGACCAGACCAGGGCAGTGACTCAGACGAGTCCCAGGACTGGAGCTCCTTTGCCAAGTCTGTTCTACATCAAAATGGTGGAGAGAGTATGGAGGGCCAGGAGAGTTCTGTCTCAGCCAAAGCAGCGCCTGGCAGGATAGAGGAGGAGGCTTTTGTTCACTGTGCAGAGCGAGACTACATCCATAATCGCACAGTGCTGGTCATGCAACAGGGTCAGGTATTTACGCAGTCTTTTCAGCTACACTTTTGACTTTTCAATGGCAACTACACTCCCCGCTATAAGCTACTTCCTGTGTTTTTCACTAATGCCTCCTGCCTTCAGTGTTGTGTTTTGTCTCCTATAAATTGGTATTATTAATTTTGTCCATGCTGTGGGGATTAAAGTTATTCTAAGTAATCTTGATCTCTTTCTCCTGCAGACCCTGTGTTTTAGGGGGAAGTGCCTTCTGTCATGTCTGTACGGTCGGGTGGAGGTGCATGGTTTCACCCTTGAGGAGGGTCAGCAGTCCTACCCACTGTTTTCCCCTTCCTCACATTGCCCCCTCACCGTCACAGCACTGGGGGACTCCCCTAACCCCAGCAAAACCAAGAAAGCGGGACGTCTAGAGGCCAAAGCCATTGTCCGCAAGTACCTCTCTACAGGTAAGGAGAGCCTTTGAATGAGACCATCCACCCTTGAAATGATTTGCATGATACTTTCGTCAGCTGCCTTCTTTTAGTGATTGTTTCCAGTTATAGGCCTAGTTAGATCACCCTTGAGGGAGTAAATTGTGTAGTTTTGAGTTTAAATGCTGCTCGTTTGTAAGGTTGCTCCTATCTTTATTTTCTGTGTTTCGTTTAGAGACACGTAAAAGGTTGTTGAGCGAAGTAGATTCAGACTCCTGTGTGATCTTGCTGGAGCCCCTGGACACCCCTCTGACACGGTTCCTTGCAAGTTTCCCAGACCTCAAAGAGCTGTTTGGACTCAGTTCGGTGGGTTGACTCTGATAATCCGATGTTGTCATCTATCTACAGCACGTTACTACTGGCCTTTTCATACAGACTTTTATTGTACAGCCCTCTTCTTTGTAGAGTTACTGTAAAGCACCTTCTGATGTAAAAATGGCTTTATAAATACATTTGATTTATTTGATTGATAGAGGGACATCCGAGACAGTTCAGCCATGCTGGACACTCCGCTCTCTGGCCTTGGCATGATCCCACTGCGGAAAACAGCCGAAGGCATGGTTATGTCACCGACCTACAGGGAGGCTCTCAACGGCCTGGTTAACGCCTGTGCAGGTAAACACACACACAGCCCTGCTATCTTAAAGAGAAGTTGAACCCAAAAAATGACTTCTTACTAATTCTACTGACAACATTGACTACAAAGTGTAAATAGTATAATTTTGGTCATAAAGTCAGTATCTTCCAAAAGGGAGGTTTTGCGACTTTTATGGAAAACTATTACGCTCCTAAATGAGGGTTGTGTTTTGATTTCAATCATGCCCAGTCTTGCCCACTAACGCAGGATGGTAATGCTTAGGGAGAATTGTTATGCACGGCGAAACGGTTGCGCTGAGTGTGCTCTATCCAATTGTAGCAGCAGAATCAACCTACAGTAAAACCATTAGCTTGAAGCGCCTCAGACTTGTTTACATGAGACAACAATATCATTGCGAATGTTATGTTGAAAGAACAAGACTTGGTGTTTATAAAGGCTTTGGGTTTTTTCCAACTCAAACATCCTCACATTCGTTAGCTAACTTTAGCATCACAAACACAACTGTCATCAAAGATACTGATACCAGAGAAGGTACAGAAAGCAGGAAATGCTCTGAGCTTTGTAGTCTTGACCAATCACGTTCATATGCTGTGTCACCAGGCCGCGTTCAGCAGGACACAATCTTTTGCAATGTTCAAATAGAAATATGTAATATAGAACAACACATGCCTCTCTGACATGTAGACCAGGCAATCATGTTGGCTCTATTCATTGCATTTCTATCTGCAACGTTCGACAACGTTTGTCAACTGAACGTGGCCCAGGTTACTAAGCCATTTGTCATGCGTATGGTGGCTGTGTGGGATATTTCAAGTAAAGAGCACACAATGTTAACGAACATAACACACCCACTTCAAACTCGCATTGCTTCTAGCATTTCTTAATGAGGACGTGGAAAAGTGAGGCGAAATTAGTGAGTTCAGCCCCCCTTTTAACATGACGAACAGGTCCCCTTCAGTTATTTTCTATAGACAAGCATGTTATGTTTCTGTTGTATTCCACATGATGGAGACCAAGATATTTCAACCTGATGACCTATTGACTGTTTGTTTTTCATCTACAGAAGAGCTAGATGGCTGTCCAGTTATTCTCGTATGTGGTGCTAAGAATGTTGGAAAGTCCACCTTCAACCGTCACCTCATCAATACCTTACTTAACCAGTGAGTAGTGTGTTTTTGATATGTTTGTTTGGTTGAAAGGTTCTGCAGTGATACAATGCTTATAGCAATAACCCACCCTGTGTGTCTGTGTGTGTGCAGCACTGCAAGTGTAGAATACTTGGAGTGTGACTTGGGCCAGACAGAGTTCACTCCCTCAGGTTGTCTCTCCCTGTCTACTGTCAGAGAGCCACTGCTGGGTATGTATTGTAACGCCTTCATTACAATCATGTGTTCAATACATTTTAGTGCAGTGAGTAAGTGAGTTTCCGATGTTTTCATTACACATGGCAAATACACTAGAACTACCTGTATTTCCCAATATTTTCATGGGTCCTATTAATGTTTGGGGTCTTAACTAATCCAAACTAACCCTGGTCTGTCTGTCATGTTGTTTCCAGGTCCCCCCTTCACACACCAGTGGGCCCCAGAGCACATGATCTTCTATGGCCAGTCGTCCTGTGAAACAGACCTGGACCGCTATCTGGAGTCCCTCAAGTCCCTGTGGCGCTTGTACAACAGAGAGACGCCCATCGTCATCAACACCATGGGCTGGGTCAAAGGTCAGTAACACAGTTTCCTGGCAACCTGGGGACAAAATTCCTACATTTGTTCCAAACTGCCATGTTCATGTATAGCCCAATCTTTAAAAAGAGGGGAAAGCAAGCACACATTTAAACAAATAAATAATGCATAGTAATTCATACTTTTATCATTTTCATACTGCCATGTTATGTGCCTGCTTCTTCAGGTTTTGGCTTTCAGTTGCTGGTGGACATCATTCGTCTCTTCTCCGTCTCTCACGTGGTGCAGCTCAGTAGTGGGGATAAAGTCATGTGCCGCCAACTCACCCCTGAGTTCCTGAGGTCATCCCATGGCTGGCAGACACACCCTCCTGTCCAGTCAGCTCTGGGGGAGGACAACTCTGGAACCCATCCTGCCCAGCGGAGTTATACTCTATTCAGTATTCACTCAGAGTTTGAAGGAGCGGGGCGCTCGGGCGAAATGTAAGAGTCCTAACAACACAAAAGCTTTCTTGGTTGCCATGGATATACATTTTTCTGCTGAAGGAAGATACTTGCCCTTTTGTTTAGAGAAAAGACAAACCCACTCTGCACTTCTTGCCAGGAACACTTGTTCATTAAGCTGACGTATCAGCCTTCGTCTGAACTTCTCTTACCCTTTTCTTGCCCTACTTCTCTGACTTCACCTCTCTCTCCTCTGCTGTTTGTGTTATTCTTCCGCAGGAGACTCCAGCGCAGCAACGAGCAGCGTGACCTGGCTCTGCTGGGCTACTTCAGCCAGCTGCAGTCCCCTGAACCAGCCCCTGTCAGACCCCTACACTGCTTCATTCCCTACCAGGTAAGAAATCTAAATCACTTTTTTAAGAAGAATGTTGCCACAATCGGAAGCTCTGATGCAACCCATTCTGAAGTGTCGTGTTCCGCCGGCCTGCTTGCGCCAAATCAGGTTTATTTATGATAAGCATAGGATTGAACTCTAATGTTTTTATCGTTAAATGCTAATTCCACTACGTCCATCCCTTGTCCTCTCCTTGCAGGTTCCCCATTCAGCAGTGGCTGTGGGTGTGACGCACTGTGAGGTGGCACCAACTCACGTGCTCTACACTGCTAATGCCAGTCTGGTGGGGCTGTGCTGTCTGAATGAGAAGGTATCAGGCAGGGGAAGCCCAGTACTGCTCTCCCAAACCCCTGTCTGTCCCTGTGTGGGCTTTGGTACGTGTATATAAACTATTACCTATATACACATTATCTCTCAGTCTTCTGATGTTTGGTAACAGGAATACATGTACACTACTGTTCAAAAGTTTGGGGTCACTTAGAAATGTCCTTGTTTTTGAAAGAAAAGCAATTTTTTTGTCCATTAAAATAACATAAAATTGATCAGAAATACAGTGTAGACATTGTTAATGTTGTAAATGGCTATTGTAGCTGGAAATGGCTGATTTTTAATGGAATATCTACATAGGTGTACAGAGGCCCATTATCAGTAACCATCAGTCCTGTGTTCCAATGGCACGTTGTGTTTGCTAATCCAAGTTTATCATTTTAAAAGGCTAATTGATCATTAGAAAACCCTTTTGCAATTATGTTAGCACAGCTGAAAACTGTTGTGCTGATTAAAGAAGCAATAAAACTGGCCTTCTTGAGACTAGTTGAGTATCTGGAGCATCAGCAATTGTGTGTTCGATTACAGGCTCAAAATGGCCAGAAACAAATAACTTTCTTCTGAAACTCGTCAGTCTATTCTTGTTCTGAGAAATTAAGGCTATTCCATGCAAAAAATTGCCAAGAAACTGAAGATCTCGTACAATGCTGTGTACTACTCCCTTCACAGAACAGCGCAAACTGGCTCTAACCAGAATAGAAAGAGGAGTGGGAGGCCCCGGTGCACAACTGAGCAAGAGGACAAATACATTAGTGTCTAGTTTGAGAAACAGACGCCTCACAGGTCCTCAACTGGCAGCTTCATTAAATAGTACCCGCAAAACACCAGTCTCAACGTCAACAGTGAAGAGGCGACTCTGGGATGCTGACCTTCTAGGCAGAGTTGCAAAGAAAAGCCATATCTCAGACTGGCCAATAAAAAGAAAAGATTAAGATGGGCAGTCTGGGATGTGGCTTTTTCTTTGCAACTCTGCTTAGAAGGTCAACATCCCGGAGTCGCCTCTTCACTGTTGAAGTTTCAGAAGAAAGTTATTTGTTTCTGGCCATTTTGAGCCTGTAATCGAACCCACAATTGCTGATGCTCCAGATACTCAACTAGTCTCAAGAAGGCCAGTTTTATTGCTTCTTTAATCAGCACAACAGTTTTCAGCTGTGCTAACATAATTGTAAAAGGGTTTTCTAATGATCAATTAGACTTTTAAAATGATAAACTTGGATTAGCAAACAACGTGCCATTGGAACACAGGACTGATGGTTACTGATAATGGGCCTCTGTACGCCTATGCAGATATTCCATTACAAATCTGCCGTTTCCAGCTACAATAGCCATTTACAACATTAACAATGTCTACACTGTATTTCTGATCAATTTGATGTTATTTTAATGGACAAAAAATTGCTTTTCTTTCGAAAACAAGGACATTTTTAAGTGACCCCAAACTTTTGAATGGTAGTGGATATCAAACGTAGAACAGTAACAAAGTTTGGCATCTCCACATGGATGACTACCTCCTTGGATGGATGACAAACTGGTGAGAGCAATCTATTAAGTAGTGTTTCTCTCTGTTCTGCAGGTGTCCTTCGAGGTGTGGACATGGCACGGGGCCTGTACTTCCTTGTTACACCTATAGCTCCCTCAGTCCTCCGTCAGGTCAACTGTCTTCTGCTGGGGGCTGTCCCACTGCCCAACACCCTCCTCACAGGCCAGGTAAGACGAGAGGATACCTCCCACACACTAAGCACTCTGAACACTGCAGCGTCGTACTCTCTGCTCCTCAGTCCTCTGTCTTTGTTTGACTTTCGCACACGAATATCAGCTATAATAAAACATGAAAAACTGTAAAATCACAACTGCCCCAAACTATTCAAATATTTTTCAGACTGATTTGTTGTCCTGTTCCTCTCCATCGGTGTAAGCTTTTACCTATCAAGGTATTTGGGTTCAGTCACTCATGCTTGCTTCATCTTAGTCCACATCCTCTTTCTGTTACAGACAGGAATTGTGGGAGAGCCTCCCTACGTCACGATGGACTACAGCTTTGAGCTAACCGGGGCCGGGAAGCTTCACGTCTTCAAGGGGCTTGCAAGACCTGGCCAGATGAAAAACGCAAAGTGATTGTTTTTGTTTTTATGGTTTCACAGCAAGAAATCCGATTTTTTTTTGTTTACTGACTTCAAACACCAAGGCCAGAGTCAAGGCCGTTGAATGTACAGAAGAGAAGGTTCAGGAGACGGGTGGACCGTAGAGTTGGCGTGAGTGATTCGAGGCGTACTCGCGCTCCAGACCAGACTCTTGAAGACGGCCCAGGCTGTGGAGGTCAACTCCCTCTTGTATGCGTCAATTGGGTTGACCTTGGTCTACAATAATGACATCATTTTTGGTGGCGATATTCAATAGTTTAGGATGTTAGAAACACGTTCAATCACATGGACAATATCTAGACATGCAGGTAAACCTCCGTCTGCATCTGAAATGGCGCCATATTCCCTAGTGCACTGGTCAAAGGTAGTGCACTAATGTAAGGAATAGGGTGTCATTTCAGACATACTGTGTTTGTCTATTCCTTGTGGGTGACATTTCAGACACATACTGTGTTTGTCTATTCCTTGTGGGTGACATTCCAAAGCCAAGATTGTACACATGATCAAATATAAAAAAAAAAATTGATATACTTTTTGTTGTTGAAAATGTGAGCTTTTCCTGTCACTGTCAGGACTTCCTAAAATCTGTTTGTTAACCTTTGGTCTTTTTAAATGTGGGCCCATCTTATGACCTGTCCCTAGCAGATGTGGTATCACGGTTAAATGTTCGAATTTCCATGTCATAATATACATAGTCTTGAAAAGTGGTTGGAGGACAATGTGTGAAGTTATGAATCCATACCCCCCACCCCCCAGTAAAAGTGATGATAAACAATTTGAGTTCATGTTAAATGTCTGATTTGGCCATATTACAGATTGATTCACTCTACAAGTGATATTAATGAATAGCCTGGAGTAGGACATGAAAGTGCTTGCAGGGGTATTCTCTGACAATGAAAATCATTAAAACAAAAGAAAATGTAATGTCACTTGCTCAACAATCCATCTATAGTGCTATTGGATAACACCTGTCAATATAGCCCAGAGCAAAAAAGAATTGAAACCTGTACACAGATTGTAACTGAATGGTAGTGCACTACGAATTGTTACACAGTATTCCATCCATGTCTTATTTACCATAGTAGTGGCTATAGATGCTTCAAGTAACTTCTGCATTTCTGAGAGTACTAGACATTGATTTACCTATTTATTCATCTGACCTTGGGACAAAAAATGAACTATGGCATTGATGGTGCGATAAAGGACCGAGTGGAAATGAGAACTACAGGCAAGAACTGTTACCAGTCCTCTCTTCTTTTTTTTCCCATTTTGTTTGTCTTTCTCTCTTATCCCTTCTGTTCCATCAGGACTTGTTTGACAGAAGTTCGTAAATAAAACTTCCTTTAAGTTCTTTGTTACTTGGGTGTGTAGGATCTTTGTGTCCTGAAGAAGGCAGTGATTTACAGGGTCACATTTTTTTCTCTTAACTTTTTATGGGGGGTTTACGTTTCAAGAAACCTCATAGTCATACCAGAGTGGATCATACAGTGAAAGGAGATCCAGTGTGGGAAAAAAGTATTTAATCCCCTGCTGATTTTGTACGTTTGCCCACTGACAGAGAAATGATCAGTCTATAAATTTAATGGTAGGTTTATTTGAATAGTGAGAGACAGAATAACAACAACAAAATCCAGAGAAACGCATGTAAAAAAATGTAAATTCTTTATTTGCATTTTAATGAGGTTAATAAGTATTTGACCCCCTCTCAATCAGAAAGGTTTCTGGCTCCCAGGTGTCTTTTATACAGGTAACAAGCTGAGTTTAGGAGCACACTCTTAAAGGGAGTGCTCCTAATCTCAGCTTGATACCTGTATAAAAGACACCTGTCCACAGAAGCAATCAATCAATCAATCAGATTCCAAACTCTCCACCATGGCCAAGACCAAAGAGCTCTCCAAGGATGTCAGGGACAAGATTGTAGACCTACACAAGGCTGGAATGGGCTACAAGACCATCGCCAAGCAGCTTGGTGAGAAGGTGACAACGGTGCGATTATTCGCAAATGGAAGAAACACAAAATAACTGTCAATCTCCCTCAGCCTGGGGCTCCATGCAAGATCTCCCCTCGTGGAGTTGCAATGATCATGAGGAATCAGCCCAGAACTACACGGGAGGATCTTGTCAATGATCTCAAGGCAGCTGGGACCATAGTCACCAAGAAAACAATTGGTAACACACTATGCCGTGAAGGACTGAAATCCTGCAGCGCCCGCAAGGTCCCACTGCTCAAGAAAGCACATATACAGGGCCGTCTGAAGTTTGCCAATGAACATCTGAATGATTCAGAGGAGAACTGGGTGAAAGTGTTGTGGTCAGATGAGACCAAAATCGAGCTCTTTGGCATCAACTCAACTCGCCGTGTTTGGAGAAGGAGGAATGCTGCCTATGACCCCAAGAACACCATCCCCACCATCAAACATGGAGGTGGAAACATTATGCTTTGGGGGGTTTTCTGCTAAGGGGACAGGACAACTTCACCGCATCAAAGGGATGATGGACGGGGCCATGTACCGTCAAATCTTGGGTGAGAACCTCCTTCCCTCAGCCAGGGCATTGAAAATGGGTCGTGGATGGGTATTCCAGCATGACAATGACCCAAAACACATGGCCAAGGCAACAAAGGAGTGGCTCAAGAAGAAGCACATTAAGGTCCTGGAGTGGCCTAGCCAATCTCCAGACCTTAATCCCATAGAAAATCTGTGGAGGGAGCTGAAGGTTTGAGTTGCCAAACGTCAGCCTCGAAACCTTAATGACTTGGAGAAGATCTGCAAAGAGGAGTGAAACAAAATCCCTCCTGAGATGTGTGCAAACCTGGTGGCCAACTACAAGAAACGTCTGACCTCTGTGATTGCCAACAAGGGTTTTGCCACCAAGTACTAAGTCATGTTTTGCAGAGGGGTCAAATACTTATTTCCCTCATTAAAATGAAAATCAATTTATAACATTTTTGACATGTGTTTTGCTGGATTTTGTTGTTGTTATTTTGTCTCTCACTGTTCAAATAAACCTACCATTAAAATTATAGACTGATCATGTCTTTGTCAGTGGGCAAACGTACAAAATCAGCAGGGGATCAAATACTTTTTTCCCTCACTTTAAGAAGTCACACTAGAATTATGAGGTGTTGTCTTTTTGTGTCCTGAAGATGGCAGTGTTGTTCAGGTTTATTTTTCTTATTTATCAACATTAACCTCAGTCCTAGGAGATTTTATGGGAAGCCACACGAGTATTATGAGTGTATGGACACAGTTTAGGAGCCTAATGACAAACACACATTTTATAGTCTGCGCAGATTGAGTAAACCCAATAATTTCAAGTGATTACACAGGTGGGACTCAAACAATAAAGACCCTAAATTAGTCGCCCATCCCCTACACATCTGCATGCATGTCTCTTTACAAGAAAGGCTCTTGTCTTGTATAGTTTTGTGGTCATTGATTGTTTTGACTTGGAAGAGGGAACAAGGACTCATTGTGAGCATACTGTACATTCACATACAACTGTGGAGACTTGCTAATTTGTTGTGGGCCATTTATATCATCAACCTATTTGCCATCTTGCTTTGCTTTGTTTACCATTTCCCTCCCCTTTGTTGGGGATGGGAGCATGCAAACAACTGGAGCTGCATTGTGGTCACGTCATTCTTTTAGCTTTGTCAGGGCAGACATCTTTCCTGAGAGTCCCATGCAACCCAATGAGAAATCTCCCAAGATGGAGGTCCCACCCAGACAGTCCAAATAGAGTCTAAAGCCCGGGAATAAACACATAGCATTTGTCTGATGAAATCTGCTGCTCACACTAGTAGACTAAACCATTGGGCCGTTTGTCATGATTAATGTAAATGGAGATTGGTGTTAATGTGGAAATAGAGGAATGCATTTAGTATGAGGGCATGTTCTTCTTGCCCAGTGGTCAATCCATCACAGTTCAGCCTAAGTATGGTTTAGCCTTCTTGTCTTGTAATGCTGGTAGCATTGGCACCGTTGAAGTCAACGGTTTACAGTAAACTAGAGATTTGTCATCTGATTATATAATTTCCCACCACCCACAAAGGGACACATGGACTGATATCTGCCTTTTCTTTAATTGAAACAACTGACCAATCCTTCTGCGTGGAATCCCTATACAACCACTAATATGAATAAAAGGCTTAGGACTGAAAGGCCTTCTTGAGTCTCGAATGTCATCTAAGAGAAGTGTAAAGACATGAGAGGCTAGATCATGCAGATTCTAGGCTTTTTTGCTTGTGAACCATTGGTCAATCTTGGGAATAACCTTTCCCTAAACCAATCTGCCTAAATCGGAATGGCATGTGACTGTGTGAACTACTGGCTTTCAATACAAACATCCAAGCACAACAAGAAATTATTGTTAGTTTCAAAGTGTGCATAATAAACATAGAGACAATGGGTATGTAAGGGGGTACGTCATAGCCCACAATGGCAACTTCTGTCCCAAAAGTAGCAGAGTCCATGGGAATCATGGACTAATCATGGAAATCAAATATAATATTTTGCTAAAACTAAATGAGGCATTTTTTCAATGTAATTTCCAAGGCCAATCAAGTAAGGGACAATCAATCAAGGGACAATTGCATGCATCAAATGTATCCATTGCTATATAGACCGTTAGCTAAAGCAGGGGCCTTCAACGTTTTCTTGCCATGGACCCCCTTTCAGGCAAACCAGCGACCCATGGACCCCATCAGACGTTAGCAAAACATTTTGTCTTGTCTTATCATCAGGTGAATGATAATGGCAAGGATAAGTAATCAACATTTAAACATTTATAGACTTGGTAGATAGATTTTTATTATTTTGACCTCCCCACATAATTGGAAGAGGAAGTGTAAACTCTAACATAGCCTATTAGCTAAGAAAGAAACAAGATATTCTCCTCTCTTTTAATGATTTATTCTGTTATTGCTAGAGATATTCATAAAAACTTTGGGGAAAGTTTTTCCTGAGTTGAAGGAATGTTCTTCTTTTTATATACACTACCATTCAAAAGTTTGGGGTCACTTAGAAATGTCCTTGTTTTCCATGAAAACATACATAAAATGAGTTTGAATAGGAAATGTAGTCATTGACAAGGTTAGAAATAATGATTTTTAATATAAATAATAATTGTGTCCTTCAAACTTTGCTTTCGTCAAAGAATCCTCCATTTGCAGTAATTACAGCCTTGCAGACCTTTGGTATTCTAGTTGTCAATTTGTTGAGGTAATCTGATGAGTTTCACCCCATGCTTCCTGAAGCACGTCCCACAAGTTGGATTGGCTTGATGGGCACTTCTTTCGTACCATACAGTCAAGCTGCTCCCACAACAGCTCAATAGGGTTGAGATCCGGTGACCAGTTGACTGCTTCTTCCCTAAATAGTTATTGCATAGTTTGGAGCTGTGCTTTGGGTCATTGTCCTATTGTAGGAGGAAATTGGCTTCAATCAAGCGCCGTCCACAGGGTATGGCATGGCGTTGC